TGAGATTAGTAGCATGAGAAATCAAAATTAATTGAAGAACTCCCCCTAACTATATGCTCCCCTTTACTATGTGCATAGTAAAAAGTTAACAATTTTCATAAAATGTCAACTTTCTCCCCCTATGAAAAACAATAAAGGAAACATATAATTTCTTAATCTCAACAAAAATCTTTCCCTTTTGGCAACATCAAAAAGAGCAAAGATATGAATATGCCATTAAGTAGCGAAAAGTCAACCTATAGTCAAACAAGGCTCATGTTTATCAATAATTTTGAATCAAGAACACAAAACCTTGTAAAAATGACTTAAAAATAGTGAAGAATGCATGTTTGTCAGTAATTACCAAAATGCCATTAACACGTAGTCTCATAGGCTTTAGTTTAGTGGTTATTTTCATTGTGACAGCTTGGTGAATCAAAATTCTCCTACTTATTTCACATTAATACAATAGTAAAAAAGTCAATTTTATGATTTCTTGTTAATTTTGTGGCAATTTTGAAACATCTAAATTGTGTTTAATTAAAAGAAATCATTTAATTTTGTGACATCTTGTTAATTCCATAACAATTGATAGAATCACACGATTCACACAAATTACTACAATTTGATGACTAAGAATTTTTATTACGATTGAGAACTATACAGTAAAAAATTGTGTACAAAATTAAGAAAATATAAAAAATAAATTTTTACCTATTGTATTAATAATAGAAAATAAATAATTATAATTTTACTAATTTAGAATTTAAAATTTCCATAAAATTTAAATTAATTTTTTATTAACAAAAAATAATTAGTATAGTTGTGACTTCTCATTAACACGTAGCGTTATAGGCTTTAGTTTAGTGGTCATTTTCGTTGTGACAGCTTGGTCTTGGTGAACCAAAATTCTCTGAAGAAAAATTCTCGTAATTATTTCACATTAATACACTAGTAAAAAAATCAATTTTAATCAAGGAGAGGAAATTAACTTAGTTGTGACTGTTTGTTAATTTTATGGCAATTTTGAATCATCTAAGATGCGATAGCTTGATGAATCAAATTTTTTAAATTTAATCAGATGAATTTTTTAAAATTGAATTATCAATCAAACGATACTTTTTTTAAAACAATAATCATATCTTTTCAAAAAAAATTAGTTAAACTAAATTTTCTAGACAAAATTATATCACCGTTACATATATCTTATGTAGCACCGATACGACACGCGACACGTGACACGACACGACACTCCGACACGTCAATCCTAAAAAAATATGGATTTCGACACGTTGGGACACGTTTTAATATTAAATAATATTTTTATTTTATATAGCGTATATTTCATTTAATATTCAATAATTTAATAAAAATGAAACTAAATTAATAATACCCATCAACACGTTATAAATGTGGAAGCTTTAATAAAAAAACAGGAACTGGGATGAGATAGAGAGATAATATCATATAAAGAAATCAAATCAGATTAGAGAGAGATATTAGAGAGAAGGAGATACAACAAGAGCATAATAGGAATTAACAACAATGATGCTCAGATGATCTCTTATCTACTTAAGGGGAAAAAAGGCAAAAATAAAATAAAATAGATATGATCAGGTGGAAGCTTAATTAATATATTTTAATTTAAAAAAAATAATTTAACAAAAATAATTTTGTAACGAAAATGCCATTTGACCGTGTCGGAGCGTGTCGAACACAATCAAATTCGCTTTTCGAAATGGTCAACATGTCAGAAATGTTGACCGCGTGTCAGACACCCTATCAGAACGTGTCGAAGCGTGTCGAACACGACACTCCCTATTTTTTGGAGTGCCCGTGCTTCCTTGCATATATCCTCGTTCTTAGCTAACTAAAGGTTTGATAAGCGAAAGTTCGCATGATTATATTATATTATTAATTTTATTGAAAATTAGCTCACTTTAATCAAGAAGGGATTAACTAAGTTGTGAGTTTGTGACAACTTGTTAACCCCGTGACTTTATTTCAGTTCGTTCAAGCTGCGACAGCTTGATTAACCAAACATATTTTCTAAAATCATATCTTTACAAAATATTATTCAAATACTTTTCAAATAAATGTTATATAAATATAAAATATAAATTAATCAACTCAAAAACTACTTTTAAGAACGACATAACTTTGAGTTCCTTATTGCACCAAGAATATGTCTGGAGCAAAAATTCTCTCGTCAAGTTAAAATAAATTTTCACAATTTAATTTTTATATAAATAATTATTCCATTTATTTAATTTCATTTTGGAGAATAAACAATTTTTTTTAAAGTTTAATAATAATTTAAATAATTATCTTAGGCAACCATTTTCGAAATGAATGTGTCAGGGTGCAATGAAATTACATTTTCACCGTTCCCTATGTATAATTAGACTGCTGAAATCGAATCTCAAATCTAAAAGATCAATTTTTCAAATACAAAGATTTTCAACTTTTATTAATTTGAATAAAATTGATAACGATTCCGTTAATTTGTTTTATTTTTAATTTCAATAGTTGTTTGGTCGCGATTTCGATTGCGACAACATGTTTCCATGGTTATCTCGATGGTTGCCATCGAACCCTCATGTCTTCCCTGAATTCATCTTCCATCAACATCTCATCCTCTTCCTCTGGGTCAAGATCCTCCCAGATCCATCCAATCTTCCTCTCTCTCTGTACCAAAGTCTATTCATTAGAAAAGGACCCCTCTGCTCTGCTTTGTACTTCTTAGAATTTAGAAGATGTGTTCCGTCTGCAGAATTGAAACATCTACAACGGAAAATAAAAAAAGTTCATACTATTCAAATATTGTAAAATAATTTTTTCATTTTTTTTTTTTTTTTTTTGCTGTTTATTTATTTTATTTATTTATTTTTGGGGAGGGGATTGCATGACACTCCCCATTACCTGAATATTCAGTACAGTGTTATTTTAAATGTATTAGCTTTCAGTGAGAACATGAAAGAGAACGAAAATCTATGTGTGTGTGTGAGAGAGAGATGACTGAAAGTTTCACTGAAAGAGAAGGAGAATCCATTGTTATTAATGAATCGTACAAAGCTCTGTATGTATATATAAAGAAGAAATAATGACTGAAATAAATAATGTCTCAGCACCTAACAAGCTGAATAGAATGTTGTTGACACTTGACAGCCAAGTAGCCAACAACCACCAGAGGAAAGGTATCCAGTATACCCAGTACTACAATACTAACTATACATTTATTACACGGTAATAACTTGAAGGTAGAGCAGTATCAAAATGGGTTGACACGAATACATCAACATGAGCACGATATGAATTTTTATTTATGTCAAAATCTTAAACATGAACACTGTAAAGAACTTTGGGATACATCACCCCAAAAGCTAGCTCAAATGGTAGGAGTGTCCAAAGCCTTATAAACTCCACATTAGTTGGCTCATACAATCAATGTGAGACTATATATCTCAACAAACACGATACAAATTTTTTGGTTGATACGACAAGACACAAATAACAAGCAAAATAGGTGTCAAAATAGTAATTGACAATTTTTTTAAAAAAATTGGGTCAAAATTAAAAAAATTTAAAAAAAAAAATTTAAAAAATATTGATCAACACGAACACGACACAAATTTTTTACGTGTCATTTTTACTTAACACGAACTCGAGACGATTTTTTTTACGGGTCAACTCGAATATAAATTTTCGTGTCATGTCACAAGTCAATCCGCGTGTCATAATCTATATTGACACCCCTAATATGGACCAATTTGCATCCAGATTCCTGGCAAATATTTATTTTACTTATTTAAATAGATAAATTAACATATTTTTAAAATCAACATATAGTTTAAAATAGGACATGCAGTATTTCGTATTAATAATAATTTGATTTGTGTTTCACCTTTTTAAAGAACCTTGGGATACACCACTCCAAAAGCTAGAGGGGTGAGAGTGCCCAAGGCCTTATAAAAGTCATATTAGTTGTCCATCCAATCAATGTGGGACTATATATCTCAACACGCCCCCCTTACGCAAGAGCCTTTTAGGCTAGAAATGTGGAAATTGCACAGGCCCATTTTTGGTTTACCTTTTTGTGCTTTTTTTTTTTTTTAATTCCACTTTTTTAAAGCGGGGGACGGTGAGACTCTGATACCATGTTAAGAACCTTGGTATACACCACTCCAAAAGCTAGCTCAAAGGGGTGAGAGTGCCCAAGGCCTTATAAAGGCCATATTAGTTGCACATCCAATCAATGTGGGACTATATATCTCAACACGCCCCCTTTAATTTGATTTGTGTTTCACCTTTGTAAAGAACCTTGGGATACACCACTCCAAAAGCTAGCTCAAGGGGTGAGAGTGCCCAAGGCCTTATAAAGGCCATATTAGTTGCTCATCCAATCAATGTGGGACTATATATCTCAACACGCCCCCTTTAATTTGATTTGTATTTCACATTTGTAAAGAACCTTGGGATACACCACCCCAAAAGCTAGCTCAAGGGGTGAGAGTGCCCAAGGCCTTATAAAGGTCATATTAGTTGCCCATCTAATCAATGTGAGACTATATATCTCAACATGCCCCCTCACGCAAGAGCCCTTTAGGCTAGAAGCGTGAAAATTGCACAAGCCCATTTTTGGTTTACCTTTTTGTGTTTTTTTTTTTTTTTTTTTTAATTTCACTTTTTTAAAGCGGGGGACGGTGAGGCTTTGATATCATGTAAAGAATCTTGGGATACACCACCCCAAAAGTAGCTCAAAGGGGTGAGAGTGCTCAAGGCCTTATAAAGACCACATTAGTTGCCCATCCAATCAATGTGGGACTATATATCTCAACAACCTTCCTAGCATTGGTTTGTCCTTTTATATGACTTTCACCCGGTGGTTAAAATTTGTCTTTTTATATGACTTTCACCGTTTGTTACCCACACACGCCTATATATACAAGTAGAATACCTAAAATTCATGCATCTCAATAGAACTAGTTAAAGCTTGCTCTCTCGATCTCTGTATCTTTGTAATGGCTGAAATAGCATCTAAAACCCAATTATACTCTTCCGAATCTAAATTGGATGTTGCCTCAGGTTACTTCTATGATTCTTCTCAGCTAGTTGTGGCAGGTCATCATCATGCTTATCCCTATTCAGCTTCTGATGATGAAATACCCACCGTTGATTACTCTCTGCTCTTCTCTGATAACCCTGATCAGCGATTCCTTGCCCTTGAATTCCTGCGCCAAGCATGCCACGAATTTGGCTTCTTCTATGTCAGCTCTTGAATTCCTGCTCTGTTGCATGTTAATATAATGAAGTTTTAGTGTACATATATATAATGATATATTGCATGTTATATAATGATATATTCATGTTACAAACATTTTAACAAATTTGATATATAATTTAAGTAACATAATTTAAGTAACAGGTTACGTTTACAACTTTTTTTTTATTTACAACTATTATAACTTCAGCTTTATTCTCCCGAGAGAACACTGCTGGAGAGTTTTCCCGAGAAAATATAGTTGAAGTTGTAAGAGTTGTAAACAAAAAAAAGTTATAAACGTAACCCTCCCCATAATTTAAAGACTAGGTTATATTTACAAATTTTTTTGTTTACAAACTACATTATCTTCCGGGAGAACACTAGGTACTATGTTCTCCCAAGAGAAGATAATGTAATTTGTAAAAATTTGTAAAAAAAAATTGTAAACGGATCATTTTCTATAATTTAATAATTGAATTAATGAATGGATATAACAAATAAATTTGCTTCATGTGCATACAGTTGGTAAACCATACCATCCCAGATAGTGTATTTGATGGTGTTTTGAAGGGGATTTCTGATTTCTTTGATCCAACAACGCGGGATGAGAGAAGGATTTACAGCAAAAAGGGCCCATCAGATAAAATCCGTTGGGGATTTAACTCCTCAGATATTGAAAATAGGGAATATCTCAAGGTTATTACACACCCCCAATACCATGTTCTCTCTGACTCATCAGGTTTCAGGTATTTACATAAATATTTAAATATTGTGTTCTCATTTATTCAAATTTTGATAATATTCTATTAATTTATTGTCTTGTTCCATATATTTAATTTTGCTTTTGGCTTATTTCAATCATCAGCAAAATTTTGGAAGAATATTGCAAAGAAATGAGAACCATAGTAATTGGATTAGCAAGGGCAGTGTCAATAACCTTAGGGCTTGAAGAAAACTACATAGAGAAGGCCTTCAACTTGAAATCAGGGTTTGATTCAACGGCCATGATCATTTATCCACCAAATTCTAGATCCAAAGGAGCTGTTGGTCTTCCTGAACACACTGACCCTGGCTTTGTAATTACACTTGTTCAAGATATAAATGGTGGTCTCCAAATCCTATCCCACAAAGGAAAGTGGATTAATGCTCATATTCCCCATCATGCCATACTCATTCAACTTGGTGATCATCTTGAGGTACTTCTATTCAATATAGTTTCCTTCACGTGATTAACTAATATATAGTTAATCATTTGAACAATTTTCCCCTTCCTCTCGATTTGACATGTTTCTTAACCTTAAATAAATGTAGATCTTAACCAATGGGAAGTATAAGAGTCATGTCCATCGAGTTATTGTTAACAACAATAAGTTGCAAAGGATCTCCTTGGTCACCCTTCATGGACCTTCATTGGACAAGTTCATCAGCCCGGGCATAGATTTTGTTGATGAAGAACAACCACAAAAATATTGTGGGATGACCTATAAAGATTCATTGGAAGCAACTGGGGGCGATGAGATCGATGGGCAATCATCACTTGAGCAACTTAAACTTGTGTCAAGTTTTAATAAAGTAATATAGCCCCCCCACCCCCCACAACAAACAACACCACATGAAACACACTTTATGCCATTTATAAGATATACCGGGCTTTAATTACTTGATTTGTAATTTGTAACAATAATGTGTGAGAAAATCAACTTTTTCTCACTTTTGTATTTGGTACTTATCATATATATCTTTGTTCTATTTACATGATTTCGAATAAATTTTCGTCAACTCAACAAAATTTTTTACCAAGAAACTTCAAAAATACACCAACACTAAATAAAAAAAAATCATATTTAGAGACAGAAAATTTTCTTCTCTAAAATGCTGAAATTTTGTTTCTAAAAGAATTAGACACGAAATCAGAGCTGAGCTCACTCTTGTGTCAGAATCTTGCCTCGTTAAAAAGTCTCAGACAAAATTTATTTTTTGTCTCTTATTAGAGTACTCGTCCATTTCTAAAACATAATTTTCTGTTGCTGATTAGTAATCAAAATTTGTCCACAGATGAAATGATTTTGTCTCTAGTATGAAAAAATAACAGAAAAAATGTAAGCAATTATTGCGGTTTATCACATCTATTTATTTTCTTAAAAATATATTTCCTAACGCATCTAAACAATAAAAGATCAATCACTATAGCTATCCAATTAACTAGAAAAGATATCAAGATAGTTGGTAGCATTTAGGAAGTGATTACGATATAAGAGAAACACCATTAATGGCTATTGATTTTGCAATTAGATTTTTGGTTTTATTTTTCTTATGTCACATAAGATAAATATTCTCTCTTATTCTCACCATAAATGGTGGGACCCACCTTATTTTTTAAAAATAAGAAGAGAAAAAATATAACACGAAAATCAAAGTGAGAGTAAGAGATAAATTGTTTCTTATGTGACATAAGAGAAGTAAAATTCTTAGACTCTTCTCTAACTTTTACAAATCACATGGATCTTTTTATGTCAAAATTTGACATGACCTTATTATGTCTTACATCAGAGTCATTCATTCACATGTTAATGGTCATTAATTAAAGTACTCTTTATTCTAGGAAAAGACATATATTGCAATTAGACCGTTGACATGTGAATAAATGATGGTAATATAAGACGTGACAAGGTCATGTCAAATTTTGACATGAGAGAACTCATGACTTGTCAATATTAAACCAATTGCAAAATACTTATGTTTTTTTAAAAAAATTCTTCAAAAAAAATTGTATAATTTTATTTTACAGGATAACAAAAAAGGACTCTTAGTACGTTAAGCAAGCCCACAGTAGAAATCGCGTAATGCCCACACACAATATCATATCTCTTGGTCTCCTCCACAATATCACCCCGCAGATATCTAGGAATAGGGGCATTGTTTCCCCCATCATACTCCACTGCACCACCTGCATCGAAGTTGTGTCCTAATAAGTCCATCCATACCGGAGCCGTCATCACTATGTCCTTTCTGCAAACACGGGACCTCAGCTCACTATGTATATAGCTGAGGTTATAGTAGAAGGCCTGCACCATAACCTCTAAATAAGGGCAGGACATCTCAGTCAATACTCTCAAATGTGATGCCTCCAACAATGCAACTACGTCAAATCTCTCCGCCATAAAGAATGAAGAATCCAATGACTTCGGCTTAATAATGGGTCTTCAAAAAAGATCGGCCATAAATCGTGCATGGTTCGCGGCATCATCATTAAGCAAGTACCCATATGGGAGGTTTACAAGCAGATGCTTAGGCTCAGGCTCATGTGTTGTTAAAGAAGAAGGACGGTCCATCCGTTGCTTGGTCCGTCTTTCGGTTTGGGATGAGACTCTCACCAAACCTCGTCTGGGCCCCATGAAAACAATACAAACCTACAAACAAATATGGATATTTATCAACAACACAAAAAACAAACAATAAAATAAAATTAAATAGATCTGAAATTCAAAAAGAAAAAAACAAAACCTATGAAACCTATACCCTAAATAATCTAAATTCATCAAAACCTACCCTAAACAACAATGAGGGAGAGAAAACAAAGAAAAATTAGGGTTCATTTCATCATCTCGAAAAGCTTAATCTTGGTAGGAGATTGGCATTACACCTCCACATTCCCATTTTGTGTTAAAAAATCCGAACCAAGATCCAAACCCAAAACCTAGACCCAAATTTTTGTGTGAAAGATGAGTTCAAGTCCTAACATGATTCCTATAGTTATTTACTACAATGGGAAACATTTTGAAGGTCCGAACAGTGTCCGATTTGAAGGAAAAACAAAAACGATGAAAATCAAAGTGGGCACTACATGCAATGAACTGAAGGAGAGAATTCTCCAAAAAATGGGGTCAGAAGGCATCCATTCCATCCACCGCATGATAGCCAGGTTAGAGACTGTAGTGGATATGGATACAATATACTACATTGGTAACGATATCAATGATGATGAAGATGTGGAGTTCGTCACAGATGCGTATGTTGGATGGAAAGTATTAAAAATGATTGAGATATATGTTGAAGTTGATGCTGGTCAGTCTTCATCGTTACCGGTGCATACAACCACTGCGCACTGTACTGGTCAAGAAGATACAATTGTACGATCATCTGCACCATCTCAGGTAACATTGGAAGAGGATGAAGATGATGAAGATGAGGAGTATGTGGACAGTGAAGATGAGGGAGAATCTGAAAGTGCTATTCCACAAGGTGATTCGTCTGACACTGACGTGGATGAAAATTTTGACGCTGACACGAGCGCTGTAAGTCTGGGTACCCCAGCCAAGTCACCACTTCACGTTGACCCTGTTAGTTCACCACTTCATGTTCACCCTGTCAGTAGTGGTAAGTTATTAAATTTACACATTTGCTTTAAAAAATTATACATTTTCGGTGCTATTGATTCAGACAATAATGATGAAGCTTTAGATGCAGGGACTGCGGTAGAGCCATTTTGGAATGAAAGCCAACATTATTCATTCATTAATTGGGCGCACCCTAATGACGAGTTGGAGATCCTGTATGGGGATGATGACTTGCACGAAGGTTGGAAGTTAGGAGATCCGTTATTTGTGCAACAAGAATTTGGCTCCAAACCTGAAATGCAACATGTTGTGAAGATACATTGTATGAAGGGGCGCAGGACAACCGTAGTTGAAAAAAGTGACGAGTCAAGATTTGTTATGAAATGTAGAAACCATGCTGACGGTTGTCCGTGGTATATGAGGGTAATCAAGCCCAAGAAGGGAGCTAATTGGGTGGTCCGTAAATGGGGTCAAGATCACACATGCCTGAATCAGGGCTTATCACAGGATCATACACAATTGGACTCAGATGTCATTTGTGCGACTATTATGAGTATGTATTTTACCGTGTACTTACTGAAGCTTCTTATTGAGAATATGGTAAAGTTGTGTTTTTTTTACAGATATGTTAAAGGAAGATCCAGCTACAAAACCAGTTCTGATACAAGAGAGGATACAAGGAATATATGGATACAACATAACGTACAGGAAGGCTTGGAAGGCAAAAATGAAGGCCATTGTTAAGTTGTATGCTGACTTGGAGAAATCCTGTGGATTCTTGCCTAATTGGCTGACGTATATGACACAGGTGAATGTGGGTTCTGTGTTCAAGCTTGATACAAATCCATGTTGTGACGAACGTCGGGTTTATACAGACAGGGCTATATTTCATAGGTTTTTTTGGACATTTCACCAATGCATTGAAGCATTCAAATACTGCAAGCCTATAATTCAAATTGATGGCACTCATCTGTATGGGAAGTACAGAGGAACACTCTTGATTGCAACATGACATGATGGAGATGGATATCTGCTCCCTATTGCCTTTGCTGATGTTCCTCCAGGTGAGAAGTTGGAAGATTGGTCTTGGTTTCTGAGCCTTTTACGTTTTCATGTCACACATAGGCATGGTATTTGCCTAATATCCGATCGTCATCGAAGCATCATAAGGGTGGTCAAAGATCATGTTGGTTGGCAGCCTCCATATGCTTATCATGTTTTTTGTCTACGTCATATTGGAAGCAACTTCAATAACAGGTTTAGGAATGTGGAATTGAAGAAAACTTTGATGAAATTAGGTACTGTATCCTATAATTATTCACAACTTCATTTTTTCATCGTAACTCACTAATTGCATATGTGATTAATGATTTTGCAGGGTACACATGTTCAAAGATTAATTTTGATCTCAGATACAAGGAATTCATCGACAACAATATGACTTGTCACCCTAAACTTGGCAATTTGGTTTTGCAAGATCAGCAGCTGGTCCACCCTTTTCTTGGCAATTTTAGTGATTGTTATTTGATAATACGATACAATATGACTTGTTGATAGCAGAATTGGGCACATACTGTAATCGGATAGGTTGATGTGCGCAAATGAAATTCTGAGGTATGCACGTTAAAAACAGACATAGAATTTACTTAAAATTTCATTCAGAACTTGGACAATGCAATACAAGTCACATAACAACACATTTCATAACTGGGTTCTTCATATATTTCAAAAAAGACATGATTACATCATGAGATACAACCCTATATCACCAAAAATGGGCTACATACATACATAATAATCCAAGCTACAGCCTAACAAACTCAAAATACATCAAGTCAAATCTACCACAGCCATGTCACCCTAAACCCTACTGCCTGGAATCCGACTGCGTATCCTGGTCATCGTTGTCCTCGTCCTCGTCCTCATCATCGTCATCCTCACCAGCAACATAAGCCTCCCCACCTATGTCATGACCCCCTGCTGATCCAGCCTCCAAGCGTGCCACCCTGTTTTCAATCGTTGTTCGCCACTTGCTTGTACTCTGCCTATAACCCCTAAACTCACTGGTCATGGAGTCCATACCACATGTCAGACGATACATGGAGGACATCACATCATTAAGTGTCCATCCTCCCTCAGGAGCTATCCATCCACCCTCAAGTGATGGTGGAGCTGGTGGTCGCCGCGTGCTGGTGCGACGTGCAGGAGTGGGATCAACAGCAGCAGCAACATCATCTGAGTCAT